AAGTTTGTACAACTTTGGGGACGTCCAGACTGGTACCTGCGGGCAGTGCAGCCAGGCCCTGTCCCCAATAACCCACTGCTTGCCAGACACCTGACGGGCCCACAAGCGCTCGTTGGCCCTCTGGTTGCCAGAAATGTTAAAACCTACTCTTGATTTTTTTTCATTTTGCATACTGGCAAACAAATGTCCCATAGATACTATGTCGTCATTTAGAGCGCTGGGTCAAACCACTGTTGGATGGATGCAGGCCTCATCATGGCGTATCATTTGCGGGTGTTTGTTTATCCATATTTTAGCTGGGACAGGGAACTGAATCCTAGATTTGAAGCTTTCGTGACTGCAAGGATTCATACTCTTAGGTTTTTTCGGTAAAGTCACGTAGGTTAAAAATAATAATACATAATAGAAATAATAATAGGAAAATAATACAAATAATAAATCATTCATATATTATTTTATTTCTATTCTAATTTCTAGCATTTTTCTATAGTTATTTTTCTTTGAATAATTAGTATTCTTATACAAAATAAGAATATAAATAAATAATATTGTAATGATTTCTTCTCTTATTTCTATTATTATTTTTCTTATTTTTTCTTTCATTATTTTTTACCTACGTGACTTTATCGAAAAAAACTAAGAGTATACAGGGAATTGAACGCAGTTCCCGCAATAGGGCTCACCACAGCGCCACTGCTGCCACCCCGAATTGTCTTACTTTCGTTTTCAGCAGATTCCCAAGCGTTACAGCTGGTGGCGCTGTCTACCCGTGCCACGAGTCCACTCAACACTGAGTGTCGTCCGAGTCCAGGTCGCTGCAAAGGCGCACAGTCGCTATCACAGTCGACCTGCCCGTGTAGTCGCTCAAACATTCGTTCTCGTTGCGTTTCATCGCAATAAAGTGAAGCGAACTATAAGATGAAAGCATTTATCATGGAAATTATGTTTTTAAGCCGCCGCCTCCTTTGCCAGCAACTTTGTTTGGGCTGCGACTTCAAAACAAAGTCGAACACTTCCGTGACTGTTTGGCTGTTTTTATCTAACATATACACGGTGCCGATAGATAATCAGCCATTACATGTTCCACTGCTGGATGACTGTATCTCCCACGCCGTCGCCATCTCCCCAGGATCATACAGTGCCACAACCCATCTCACTCCGGCACGTGCGCTGGTCCCATCGCTCCATCTCCGAAGTCGGGGGTGGAAGTCCCTCATCGGTCGAGTTCCCTCCTTTAGCTGCTATTCCACCACCAGTTTCATCCGTCAGCTGTCGGTCCCTTCTAAACACGATGTGTCTTGCGCAAGCGCGCATGACGATGCAATGCCTGGTTTGCGTTTGTCTCCTGCGTCATGTGTTTCGCTGTCGCTCGGTGCTTCTATCCATGCGGAATGTTCTGCAATGCTTCCAATGGCTCGGTCAGTGTCATTATTTCTGATCAATGCCATAGTGTGTGATATGCACTGATTGCACTTTTTTTATCTTCAGACATATTTGTATGGTGTTTTTCATTAAAACATTCCGTGTTTTTTTTCTTCAAAAAGCTAGCTGGTTCGCCTCTGTATTTACTGATTTTGATCCCGATCCGCCTTCAATAATTGTCCTCATTATACACATTTTGGTTGACTGCCAGATGTGTCCTTCCAACAATTGTTTTATTTTGTTGAGCAAAGCCATTGCGGTACGACATACGCTGTCAAAACACGCAGCACATGCATGCCCCGTTTAACGAAAACAAGTTAGAAGTGACTGGAACATATTTCAGAGTAACCGAGCCCAATGCAATAATTCACTGCACGTGTGCCCATATCTGGGCTATTGGGCTTATCACAAATCGCGTACACCCACTGCGTGTGAGGAATGAGGGTCACGCATGTATCGTGTGAGTATAGTAATGGACATGTGTGTGCGTGTGTCCGTGTGTATGCGTATCTGGGTAGCGGTAGTGTAGCGGTTCGCGCACTGCGCTACAAACCCGACCACCCGAGTTCGATTCCCGCTCACGGCCAACACCAGTGACGTTAATCTGAACCGGTCCTGGGCCTCCCCTAACTCGACTCAGCCTCAAATGAGTGCCTGGTGCGGTGTGTAGCAAACATCGCCACTCGGGTGACAAAGGCGGCAGGGCGTGGTTCACAGCACTTGCCCCAGCAGTCTGTCGAGGCTATAACGGAGGGAGCGTTGTCTCTGTTTGTATCTGCGAGTGGGGGGGGGGAGTCAACGCTGTCAGGCAGCGCCACGGAGTGCGTGCGGTGCGGTCAATTGTAGGCGCCTTTATTTTTCCAGCGTGCACGCCGGGTTGAAGTCGGAGGGCGTAGAGACGTTGCAGCGATAAATGCAGAGCACAATACAATAGATTGCTGGTAAAGTTAGTTCCGTAGGGTATAGCAACCTGTTGTGTTACTGTGCCTAACATGGTGTCGTGTAAAGCGTACTCTGCAATGTTATCCTTTCAGCTATATCTTGTTTTGGGTTTTTTTTTGTTAAATTGGGGAATGTGCTGCTGCTTGTTTAATCCAAGCACTGTCCAGGCTCAAATAATTCGGCTTAGCTGCTCAGATAGGATGAGATCGGTCACGGGTACGTCTGCAACACTCGAAATCCACGCAGACTCCCCCCTGCCCTACACACCCGTGTACAACACGTGGTCGTGTCGTGTTTTACACGTGTGTGTGTACAACACGTGTTGTACACGTGTGTGTGGTCGTGTTCGTCGTAGTTGCCAGGAATGGGGCGTCGCCTGCTATCTTTTCGCATTAGCGTCACACTCTCACACTCTGCAGCAGCAACAACAAAAAATGTACCCAAAGAATTGAGTTACGGAAAAATGCGATGTTTGGACTTCACTTTTTCGTGGCAGAAATCAATCAGTCAGTGCATAAGCCAACTACTATTGACGCCCCACAAACTAGCACTTGTTTTAAACCACACGGGAAAAATATGATGATTGTGATGATAATGATGTAAGTCGTGATTTTTATTGTTTTATTTTTATAATTTTAATTTCATTTTTTACCTACGTGACTTTACCGAAAGAACTAAGAGTATAAGTGGTGGTGGTTGTTCGGACGATGATGGTGATAATATTGGTGATGGTTGTGATGATGATGATGATGAAGAAACGGGTGGCAGTGCTTGTAACGATGCTGATGGTGATATAAGTGGTGGCTGTGATGATGAAAGTGTCGACGGTGATTGGAAGCGGTTGTGATGCTGATGATGAAAGTGGCGGTTGTGGTGGTTTTGATGATGATTTTCAGTTTGCACGCTTTGGTCCTCTGACACCAGTGACACGTCAACTGAGTGAGTTATATGTTAATAATAAAATGTGGGGAGATGTCTCTCTCTGTCTGCTCATATTCAGGTCATATATTTTACGGACGTCCGCCTGGCCGAGTGTTTTATTGTGCCACGGTGTAATTGTGTGCCGGTCGTTCCCAGGACACCCTTAGACAGTTACATATCTCACACGTGCGTATGGTCATAAACATTTTATATCTGTACGCTGGGCGGTGGTGGAGTGGTTAGCGCACTGCACTACGGGGCCACGGTGGCTGGCATCGGCTGAAAGGTGACATCCACCCTTCGCCTGGACGCACTGAATAGCGTGGTGGGGTAGAGTCAACCATTGCCCATGACCCACACGGAGTTGAGAGGACTGCATCCATATTCTTAGGTTTTTTCGGTAAAGTCACGTAGGTAAAAAATAAAATTTAATAAAAGTAAAATAAAAATAATACTTGCAGTCACGAAAGCTTCAAATCTAGACTTCATCCATCTTTGGATGAACAAAGGGGGGATGACCATTATACACTGCGCGACGTCAATCAATAGCGATTAATTTATTAAGGATCCAACGAAGAAGATCCCCGGTTTTGATTTTTTTGCAAAGTTCATGGGGTCCATTCTAAACCACATCCGCACAAACCATGGCAGATAGGGATACTTGATGCACAAATGGAAAATTAAAAACTCTCCAGTAGTGTGCGACTGTGGTGATCCAGAACAGACCACACAATATATAACGATGCAATGCCCGATCCATAAACACGGATACATCAGAGCGATACACTCCACTGCTCCTGACGCGGTTGTCTGGGCCTCACCACCTGAATGTGAAATTGTCGTCGTTGATTTGCATCTACATCATCAGGCATTTGAAATAATAATAATCAGAAGAATTAATGGATGTGTACATGTGACCACTGGAGTCGTTTCAACTCCTGGAGGGTCTTCTTTAAAAGGGACGATTCACACTGGTAATGGTACAGGGACAGTTATTGTCTAATTTGTTGATCTCACATGAGTTTGCCGGCAATATTTACGGCACACTTCGAGCATCGTGCATTATATGTAGCCAAATGCTTGTAGTTGATGTCACACGATCTACAACGTTCACTTCGTAAAAGGCCACAATCTAACGATGATGTTGATGGTGATTAGGTGTATGATTGATGATGGTGACCATAATGATGATTATAACGATTAATATGATTATAATGATGATGACGATACTGGTGATGATTATTATGACGACGACGATGATTATGGCTGATGCCAATTATGATTGCTATTAATGGTGGTAGTAGTAATAACGATGGTGGTTAAACAGACAACATCGTCACTGAAGCAGCACTCCGAGCAAACGGGGTTGGTAAAGAGGAACGGATGAAGGAGAGCGACGGGCGGATGGGGTGGTGGAGGCGGGTGGAATTTTGCTCGGAAACTCCTGATCGCAAGAGCCACTACCCATGGAGCTAATTAACCACCCACAGCCTCGCTCCACACAGCGCTCCCAACTCGGTCTCTCCCTCCCACCACCACCACGCTACCCCTTCCCGTGCCCCTAACCCTCCACCACCTCCCTCCGCGCGCGTCTCCCCGGGGGACTGGGATCGCGCCTACCTCCTCCCACCACCACCCACCACCACCACCCACCACCACCACCTCCCACCACCACCACCTCCCACCGAATAGGCGGGGCCGCTCTCTCAACTACAGCAGCGAAAGAGCAACCCAACCCAAATCCCTCACTCCGTACAGGAAAGCAGCAACAGAAACAGCTGCAGCAGCAGTAACGAGCGCTCCTCTTCAGCCCGGCCGCCACTCAGGTAGCAAAGTCAACTCTCCCGCCGTGTCGATCTTGGTCTAGAAGATTGTTTCCGCTGCTAGGCAATTAGCTTCAGCCAACCCGAACCTGCACACCACCACCAGCCGCCAACTCCTGTCACCATGCGCCTCGCGTTGCCGCTGCCCTTGCTGGGAGTCGCTGCCCTTCTCTGCGCCGCGCTGCTGCTGCCCGCTACTGCCCAGGCGGGGGAGCCTGGCGGGCAGCGACGGAAAGGAGTGAGCGGACAGGGAGGAGGCGGCGGAGTGGCGAAATGTCCCTCGTGCGACAAGATCAAGTGCCCCGAGCTGCCGAAGGAAAAGTGTCCGCAGGGGTTCGTCAAGGGCCCGTGCAGTTGTTGCAAGGTAAGACCAACCCCCTCCCCCCCCCTGGCCCCCATCTCCTCGGGACCCCTGTTCCCTATACCCCGATATGTCCCGTGATAATCTCCAACGCCGGTTTCCTCGGCACGCCGAGTTTCCCCGGGACCCCAAATCCCAGAGCCAGTTTTAAACCCGACTCCACCCCCTCCCTCGTGTGATACAGTTGTTTTTTGTTCTGATTTCTCTTTGATTTATTGTAGTTCCTTGTTTTATTTCATTTGCTTTTGTCATTTTGGTGACCCAGGTTACTCTTGCAAATTAGACTCTTCCTCGTATCTTGAGTTCTCACCCGGTTAAACAAAATGAACTTGAAACTTCAGTCTTGAGACTTTTGATCCGAGAGCCCCTAGCTTCCTATGTTTACACCGCAGAACCGCTACAGATAGCGGCTGCTTGGGGGAGGCCTTCATCCAGCAGTGGATTGACCATGGCATGGCTGAGGATAATGATGAGCTTTCTCAATCCCATTTATCTGAGCCTTGGTTGCCAAACTTCAGATTATAAGCATTATTTGGTGATGCTGCGTTTGAAGTTGTGCACGAATGACAAGAAAAACGCAACACATTTGTTCATAACTGTGTGACATTAATATTAGGCGACGTTTCGGGCAATGACCCTTATTCATGTATATTGATCCTAACTCTGCGATGCTGACTTCGCGAAGCGCCAAACCTCAGAGCTCCTGATGCTGCCATGTCGACTCCACCGCCACCATGAGCCGCGAGTATGTTTGTTACCTCGGTTCGATGTCGATGCAAGTTCTCAAGGTCTCCGGCCAAGTGTGTGGGGAGGGCGGGAGGGGGGCTCGAAGCTTCGTAGGGGTCGCCCCCATCTCACCAACCTCGCGGCTCCGCGCAAATCATCCGTAACGCGCCGAGTTAATAATTGAGCGAGCGGGAGGAATCCCACTCTGCTGTTAATCAGTGCTCGCGTGCCGGAGCTGTCCGGATAAATGCTCCTTTACAAACTACTCAACTATGTTTTTTTTTATTTACCAGGTATGGCCCACTGAGCTATACACATGAGCTCTTTTTCAGAAGCGACCTGGCCACAAATGATAGCTCAACGAAGTGGCTTATCGTCGTGTGGAAATGTAAAGCAGTAGCCAAACACTTTAAACCAGGGGTGGGGAACCTTTTTTTCTGCCAAGGGCCATTTGGATATTTATATAACATCATTCGCGGGCCATACAAAATGATCAACTTAAAAATTAGCCCGTTATATTTGGCCAAACATTTAATTAACTCACCCCTAATGTGATGGCTGGAACTGCTTCTCTTTGGTGAGGCGTGTGACGTTAGCTGGTATTGATGATGTTGCTACTCGCAACTGCTTTTCCAGGCTTGCTCCTAGATTTATTGAATTTCGAGTCCCGCCTGCGGTTCCCTTGGCAAGACCACACCAAATGATTCCGCGGGCCATACACGGCCCGCGGGCCGAACGTTCTCCACCCCTGAACTAAACCAACGTCGATTCTAAATGTGGATGGAAAAACCGGAGGACCCGGAGAAAAATCGACCACGGGGCGGGCCGTGGGGGACGGGGGGGGGGGTATTTGACCATACTTCACCACCGAGCGTGGCTTAGTGAAGGCAGTGAGCATAGACCTGGCAGCCGTTCCGAGATCGGTGCATTCTGAGAAATTTTGGGCAAAGGCTCAATCATCGTATCTTAATTGAAAGTTGATCAGTAGTTGCACTAATTCACAAAGCTGCTCCGTCCCTGGGCTGTCTCGATGCGAGGTACGGATGGGAGCGTTGAGCCAACCAGGTCAGGGTTAGTTAAGGGGGCATCAGGGTGTGGCGATGTACCGATTCGTAGATGAATATGGATTGTCAAGCTCACGTGTGAGCATCGATATATATATTTGTATCGTTTATGTCGTATGCAATGGGTTCCCGTGAGTGTTCATTGGTGGTCGATGGTGAGTGGCGATTGATAGTGAGTGGATGGGTGGTGGGTGGTGAGTGGATTTGTGATCGATATAGTGGCTGGGTGGACGATGGTAAGTGGTGGTTCATGATGGTTAATATCGAGTTGGCGCGCGATGGATTGAGCGAATGAATGATAGCGGTAGGACAATCTATTTACAGTACAGTTAAGAAATGCGCTTTCGCATTCTCGCCTGCCCTCAACTGCCCCCCACCCCCCCGCCCCCCAGGTTTGCGCCCGGGTCGCTGGCGAACCGTGCGGAGGCAGTGACCAGGGCCGCTGCGCCCTGGGCTACGAGTGCCAGAGGCCGCAAGGTGCCAAGAAGCGCGGCCACGGCGAGTGCGTGTGCAAGGCCCCGTACCCCGTGTGCGGCTCGGACGGGATCACCTACAGCTCCGCGTGCGAGCTCAGGGCCGCCGACTGGAGGGCGCAGAGCCGCGGGGACGCAACCGTCACGCAGACCGGCAAGGGGCCCTGCGGCAAGGGTGAGTGTGGGTGGGTGCAGGTGAGTGTGGGTGGGTGAAGGTGAGTGTGGGTGGGTGAAGGTGAGTGTGGGTGGGTGAAGGTGAGTGTGGGTGGGTGCAGGTGAGTGTGGGTGGTGAAGGGAGTGTGGGTGGGTGCTGGTGGGTGTGGGTGGGTGAAGGTGAGTGTGGGTGGGTGAAGGTGAGTGTGGGTGGATGGGTGAAGATGAGTGGGTGGAGGTGAGTGTGGGTGGGTGGATGCGGGGAGAGGGGTGTTGACGCTGTGGTGGTTTTGTGCAGGTGAGCGTGGGTGGGTGCAGGTGAGTGTGGGTGGGTGCAGGTGAGTGTGGGGGGGTGAAGGTGAGTGTGGGTGGGTGCAGGTGAGTGTGGGTGGGTGCAGGTGAGTGTGGGTGGGTGAAGGTGAGTGTGGGGGGTGAAGGTGAGTGTGGGTGGGTGCAGGTGAGTGTGGGGGGGTGAAGGTGAGTGTGGGTGGGTGAAGATGAGTGTGGGTGGGTGCAGGTGAGTGTGGATGAGTGGGTGTAGTTGGAGATGGTCGACTCAGCCTCAAATGAGTACCTGGTGCAGTGTGTAAACATCGCCACTAGGGAGACAAAGGCGGCCGGGCGTGGTGCTGGCCACCCACCCCTCGTGTACCGTACCGACATTCACAGGTGCTCGCTAACAGCCCTTGCCCCAACAGTGTGTTCAGGCTTTTTTGGGAATATTTGTTTTTGCAGGTGGGGAGCGGTAGTGCAGTGGTTAGTGCTCTGTGCTACGAACCCGAGTCCCGCTCAGGGCCAATACTAGTGACGATTATCTGAACCGGTCCTGGGCCTCTCCTACGTCTACTCAGCCTTAACAATTTGTACCCGGTGCGATCTGTAAACATTGCCAATGGGGAGACAAAGGTGACCGGGCGTGGTTCTGGCAACGCACCCGCCCGCTCGTGTGCCGTGCCGACCTTCATATAGGTGCTCGCTAACAGCACTTGCCCCAACAGTCTGTTAAAGGCTATACGGGGTCTCTTTGTCTTTTGATGTATCGTGCAGTCTTTACTCTGTGTCGAGGACAACATACATCTTTAGGAGCCCCCCCCCCCCCTCCAAAACGATGCGTGCAAGTCCATCTCTCTCTGTCCCGCGGGCCCTCTGCGGAACATCCAAGAGGCCCCGCACTCGTTGCTGAGACGGCTCCGTTTCGCGTGCGACGTGTGATGGGCGAGAGGAGACTTCCTCCCCGAGCCGCGCGGTGCAGCGCGGTAGAGAGACGCAGCAAAGCGCACGAGGCGCTGCGGGGACAGTGCTCGCTCACAGACGACGTTTCGTTGCGATTAATCCGCATTGTGCGCGCGCAGAGGATTAACGGCGGGCGCATTGTGCGCGCTCGTAAACTCCACCGCGCGCGGTCGTGTGTGTGTAAACTACACACGCGCAGTGCACACGCACGTATAAACACGTGTAGTCTGGTCCGTGTGTAGTTTACACACACACACACGTGTAGTGTGGTGTACACACGCGCATTGAATATGCATGTATACATACGTGTAGTGTAGTTTTTACACGTGCAGTGCACATGTACGTATAAACTGGTGTAAAAATTCACACGTGCAGTGTACATGCATGCATGTATACACACGTGTAGTGTTCACACGTGCTTGTGCGTACGGTGACCTTACACGTGCGATACACATTCGAACTATGAAGCGCGCACACGTGTGTGACGCGTGCACGTGTGTGGTCTGTACACGCGTGTAGCATGTGCGCACTGCACAGCGAGTGAGTTCCCACTCTGCAGCTTGAACGCGGGTAACCCTGTTACCATAGGAAGGTAACCGTCGCTACCCTTGGGTCAGCCGAGTTTGTTCAGGGCTCAGGGACCTCCACGACCTCGCTTCAGCCCTTCCCTAGAGAACGGCTGTTTTCGTGATCCCTGGCCCCACACTGCGAGCCAATTAAAGCCCCCCCCCCCTCATCTCGCACCCAGTCCTGGAGAATCGCCGGCTCGCTCTTCCTTCTCCTCCTCCACAGCCTCCCTCCCTCCCCCTTGAGTTCGCTCCATCTCCCCGTAGCCGCCCCCTCCCCAACTCCACTCCCCATCACTCTTCCTTCCTCACCCCCCCCCCGCAGTGGATCGACAAAGGGCGCTTCATCATTATCATTGTTTTATGATTGTGCACGAACAATTGTATGTTGGTGTTTGTTGAACTTCTTTCGCACCATACGTAGCCAACCATGCTAATCGGAGGTGCGGAACAATTGTCTCTTGTAACGGATGTCTGTGAGCCTCTGCGTGTGAGGCCTCCCCTAGGTCGACTCAGCCTCAAATGAGTACCTGGTGCGGTGTGTAAAACACATCGCCACTGGGGTGATAAAGGCGGCCGGGCGTGGTGCTGGCCACCCACCCCCTCGGTATGCCGTGCCGGCCTTAATAGGTGCTCGCTCACAGCACTTGCCCCAACAGTCTGTTAAGGCTACACGGGGGATCTTTGTCTTTGTGAGAGGAGCTTGTAACGAGGGTTCCAGAGAGGTCCGCTCGACTGGTCTTCCTGGTGGCTTTCCCATCACACGAAGCAAGTGACACCTTTGCTCCCACGGAAACATTTGGAATATCTTGTCTTGTTAACATAATAATAGTGAAACAGTAATACTGTTCATGACCAACATACTGTACATGCCTTTGGTCAATCCACTGCTGGATGAAAGCCTTCCACATGCCCTGTCGGTCGTGGGGGGTGGGGGGGGGGGTATTGGACCATACTTCACCGCGCTGGTCAGTGCGGGTCGGTGACGGGGGTGTCGGAGAACTGGTTCAGTTATCGCACGCCGCTCTGACGTTAGCCGTGGCCGCGACTCGAAATTGGGTGGCCAAGATCAAAGCCGAGTGCGATAACCACTGCGCCACCGCTCTTTTGTTCAGACTGTTTTTTTTGTTGCGTCTGCCCTGCTCGCGTCATTGGGCCACGTGATCACGCCGGCCTTTGTTTAACTGAAAAAAAACCCTCAGCACATTCTTCAATAAAACTGCGGCCTTAAAAAAGAAAGAGTATACATTGGGCGACGTTTGGAGCTACGGCCCTTCTTCACAGCTCGTAGAGAGGCCAGAAGAAGTACGTGCTCTGAAGAAGGCCCATTGCCCGAAACGTTTTCCATTGTATACGTTTCCTTTTTAAGGTGACAGTCGTATTGACGAACGCGTGTTGAGGTATTTTGTTGTTTCGATTTAAAGCTTTCGTGACTGCAGGGATTCATCTTCTTGGTTCTTTCGGTAAAGTCACGTAGAATGGAAACAATAAAAATAATAAAATAAAACATAATAAAATAATTCTCACGACGTTTCGGCCACAACGCAAGCAGCCGTCATCAGGTGAGACGCTGTCTCCCCGACAGACCTGGTCTTCACCTGATGACGGCTGCTTGCGTTGTGGCCGAAACGTCGTGAGAATTATTTTATTATTTTTATTGTTTCCATTCTACGTGACTTTACCGAAAGAACCAAGCAGATATTTTGTTGTTGTTAATTGTGCTTTTGCACCACCGCCAACACAGCTGCAGGGTCACCAAATAATGTGCTGATAATTATCCAGCGAAGATTTCAATCGTTCTTGTGAAATGCCCACCCAGCGTGGCCTGAGGCCTCAGTAGAACCCATCGAGGCGAGAAGAGGATCACACGGGGTTGGGTCGTCACGTGCACGCCTCAAATTTCACGCTTTCCAATGCTGCCCACGCCACATTTCTGCCGTACTTTTATATATTTCCATTTCTTGTTTCTTATTTTCATCGAAGCTTTGAGATTTATTGTTTCCATCGTTCTCAGCTCTTGGTGTAGAGGACGAGATCTGATTCACTCTGCCACCCCTCCCCCCAGTGGATGCCCCAAGCGTGAGAATCGTTGAGTCGGCAGAATTTTTGGGGTCCGAGCAGGGGATAGTGGATATGTTTTTTTGTCGTTGTCGGTTGTAGGAGCTTCCCCGGGATTAAATTAATCCACGCGGGGCTCACGAAGAGAGAGCGAATGATAGAACGCGAGTAAACGAGGGAGAGAAAAAGAGAGGGCAATGGAGAGCGATAGCGCGTGGGGGCAGAGGGGGAGAGGCGAGGGAGAGAGAGGGCGAGAGAGAGAGAGAGCGCGATTGAGAGATTTGGACAATAAATACTGGGGGCAGTGGGAAGGGTGAACGGATACATTCTGAGCCCAAACACGGATGGTGACCCAAACGCTGACACTGACCCTAACTGACCCTCACTCTCCCTAACACTGACTCTTAAACTCTAGCCCTAGCCCTAACAATACAGTTTACACGTGAACCCTAACAGCAGCATTTGCCTTGTGCCACTAATTCTAACGCTCAGCCTAACAATAACATGAGCATATCGCTGCGGCTAATGTACAAACATTTACTCTAAAGCCAAGCCTAAGACGAATAAGGCATCATTATTATTAACGCTTAACAACAAATCCCAGAACCGTAACACCACGAGACATCGCACGGCGACAGCCAAGCCCACACGAATGCCACGCCGCGTCGCCAAGGGGTCCCTGGTGCCCTCCTCCCGAGGATAATCCCCCACCTGAGCAACCAATCACCTGAGTGCGCGTGGGGGGGGGCAGCCGGGTGAGATGGTCGTGGTGACGAGGGAGGAAGGGATTTGGGAAGGAGGGAGTAATACAATATATAATGAAATGTATATTTAGCGGGAAGATTATGTGGCTTGCCACGCTGTCATCCAAAAGTTGCAGGTATGGAGCAACTAGTGATGGTGTTGATGGTGAGAATGGTGGTGGTGATTGTGTTGATTAAATCCGTAATAGCAGTGATTATACTAATGCAAGTGGTGATGGTGGTGGTTGAGATTATGATGATGAAAATGGTGGTGGTTGTAACGATGATGGCGGTTGTGGTGAAATTGGTGGGGGTGATTGTGATGATAATGATCAAGAAAGTAGGTGGTTGTCATGATGATGGTTGATGAAAGCGGTTGTGATGATTATGGAAATAATAATGATACTACTGCTCATAATGGT